CAACACACATCCCTGAGGAGAGCCAGTGCTGAGGGTTATGGTGGAGGAGGAGAAGTTGTGGATCCTCACTAACTGTGGTCTGTTTGTTAAGAAGTCTAGTACCCAGTTACAAATGGAGGGGCTTAGTCCTAGTGTGGATAGTTTGTCCATCAGGGTTTGGGGGATCATGGTGTTGAAGGCAGATGTGGTCCACAAAGAGCATACGGACGTAAGAGTTTTTCTGCTCCAGGTGGTTGAGTGCAGTGTGGACCACAGAGGAGATGGCATCCTCTGTTGATCGGTTCTCACGGTATGCATACTGATGAGGGTCCTCGTTGATGTTGATGGTTGTTTTGATGTGAGTCATGACCAGTTTTTCGAAGCATTTAACGACTATTGCGGTGAGGGCCACTGGCCGATAGTCATTCAGACCAGTCACTGTAGAGCTTTTTGGGACTGGGATGATGGTGGCAGTCTTCAGGCAGGTGGGAACTGTCTCCAGGGTAAGTGAGGTGTTAAAGATGTCTGCCAGCACCTCACAGAGCTGATCAGCACATTCCTTCAACAATTTTCCAGGGATGTTGTCTGGGCCAGTGGCTGTTGCTCCAGTTTCTCAGAAGGCTACGTGCGTTTACATACAGAAAATGAAGTCCAGACACGTTTTTAAAGTCATTTGGTGTCCTATAAATAGTGTGTGTGTGTGGGGGGGGGGGGGGTCCAGGGTTGGGCTGAATCCCTGAGAGCAGTAACAACATTATTATCAGACATTTTCTTGAGTTTTTCATGACTGATGTGTAATTACAGGAGTTAGTAGTGTGACACTTAGCCCTCATAATTGACCCATGAGAAACATTAATGAACACGCGATCATTCAGAACTCCAAAACAGTGAAAGTTGCAATGATGGGCAGATCAAGATATATTAACAAGATTCGGTGACTCCAGATTATCTGAGATCTGAAAATAATGACAATAATATGAATGGTGCAGAAAAGTCTCAGACCATAAAACATCACAAATCAAATGGGCAAACAAATCTGACGAGGTGGCCCAACTGCAGTTTGAGTTGGGCTGAGGGGGGTTCCGGCCCCCCTGCGAAGATGGATGGATACTCCCATGGGAAACAGAAGCTGGGTCCAGAACCAACAGGCAGAAACAGAAACATATAATTCGCAGCAAATAACAGAGCGAGCTGCCAGAAAATCCTCCTGAAATGAAAGGCATGGTCCTAGCTCATTTCAGGCCAAAAGGGGACAACAACGTGATCCAAAATAAAAACAATTATTATCCAGGTGAATTTGGATGGAGGCCTGCAGCAACTCCGATGCAAACTCCAAACTTTTCTCTAGCACCACGCAGCGCCGCTCCTCCGCTTCTCTGCACGTCTCTCCCCCCCCCCCCCGACAGCACGAGAGGCACCCCCGGTGAAAAACGAGATTGACCAGAGAGGCTGAGGCTGAAGATGTCACTAGTCCAGTTCGGTTCCGCTCCAGTCCGGCTCCGGCGCTCCAATAGCACGAGAGGCGAAGAGGCTGAAGTGGCTGAAGTCATCACTGGTCCGGTCCGGTTCTGCTCCAGTCCGGCTCCGGCACACCACAGCTTGAGAGACGAAGAGGCTGAAGTTGTCCCTGGCCCGGTTCTGCTCCGGTTCTGCTCCGGTCCGGTTCCGGCGGCGCTTCAAAGCATCAGAGCGTCTCCTCCAGGCGAAAACAACGATTCCACGGAGGTGGACCGTCCTTCGTTAAAAGTACCTGGCTGCTCACTGAAGCTCATTGAAGCCTAACCTGCTGCACATCCTTTCCAGCCTGATCCCTCTGTCTTGCCAATTGGTAAAAGTGCTTCTTGCAATCTTTAGTGTCCAGTCTCCCAAACAACTCATTGTACGCCCTATGCTTTGCCTTAGCTACTGCCCTCTTTGCTCTATGTCCCATCTCCTTATATTCCTGTCTCCTCTCTTTAGTCCTCTCACTGTCATATTTTTTCTTGGCTAATCTCTTTCTTTGAACGGCATCCTACTTTTTACTATTCCACCACCAGGTTTCCTTATCATCCATACTCTGTCCAGATGACACACCAAGTACCTTCCTACCTGTCTCTCTAATTACTGTTGCTGTAGTAGCCCAGTCCTTTGGAAGCTCTTTCTTACTACCCAGAGCCTTTAACAGCTCCTCTCTGAATTTCTCACAACATTCTTCCTTCTTCATCTTCCACCATTTGGTCTTCTCCGATTTTACTCTTTTTCTCTTCTTCACAGCAACAGTGATTCTACACACAACCATCTAATGCTGTCTGGCCACGCTCTCCTCTGCCACAACCTTACAGTCCCCAATCTCCCTCAGGTTTCCTCTTCTACACAGAATGTAGTTGACCTGTGTACTCCTTCCTCCACTCTTATCGGCCATTGTTCCTCCCTCTTTTGGAAATTGGTATTGACTATAGCCATCTCCATTCTTTTGGCAAAATCCACCACCATCTGTCCTTCCTGGTTTCTTTCCTTGACACCAAACCTACCCATCACTTCCTCATCCCCTCTGTTTCCTTCACCAACATGTCCTTTCAGGTCTGCTCCGATCACCACTCCCTCCTTCATGGGAATTCTCTCTATCACTTAATCCACATCTTTCCAAAATGTATATTTCTCCTCCTCATCACATCCAACCCATGGAGCATAACCACCGATGATGTTTAGCATCAGACCTTCTACTTATACCTTCAGACATATCACCCTATCTGACACTCTCTTCACCTCTACTACATTCTTTGACAACTCCTCCTTCAGGACCATACCTACTCCATTTCTTGTTCTATCCACACCATGGTAAAACAGTTTGAATCCTGCTCCAATGCTGCAAGCCTTGCTGCCCTTCCACTTGGTCTCTTGGACACATAAAACATCTACCTTTCTTCTCTGCATCATGTCAGCCACCTCTCTCTTTGCCTGTCATTGTCTCCACATTTAGAGTTGCAACCCATAGTCCTACATTCTTCACTTTCCTCTTCTCCCTCTGTCTCCTGACACGTTTACCTCCTCGTGGTCTTCAACTAACAGTAATACAATTTCCGCCGGCACCCTGTTTGTCAACAGCACCGGCGGTGGTCGTTGTTAACCCTGGCCTCGACCAATCCGGTATGGTTTTGCTTTGATGAACTCGCATTATGGTTTTGGCAAAAGTGTTTTATATCTGATGTCATTCCTGACACAACCATCAACATTTACCTGGGCTTGGGACTGGCACAAGAGATACACTGGCTTGCGCTCCCTAGTGGCTGGATTGGCATGGATTTTTTTTTAAATTAAAATATATATTTTAAATTATTTAGCACCTGCTGCACCTGTGTGCAGACCACAGGTGCAGGGAGAAGCTTCCTCCTGCAGCATGTCAGAATCTCTGCTCTGCAGCGGAGAAATGGGCATAGCTGAGAACGCTGGCAGGTGGCAGAGGGCAGCTGGAGACAGAGAGCCGAGATCATGACATTATGTGCTCTTTTAGAGTGTTTAGAATTTAGAAACATTGTTTAGAATATAAGAGTGTGGGAAGGATTTAAAACACCTTAGTATATACCTGTATATAAATACTAAAATAAACTACACTTTACTACTTGTATTCCTACTTTGTGGTTTTTCACTTATTGTGGGGGAGGGGGGGGGGGCTGAGAACAGAACCCCCATGATAGAAGAGGGATTACTGTAATTGAAACATGTTCAGAAACAAAAATGCTGCACAATCTGTTACACTCAAAGTATGTGTTGAGAAAAATGCTCAGTTACTGGGCAGACGTGACTGAGTGGTTAGAGCAGTTGTCTTCCAATGCGAGAGCTGGGGGTTCGAATCCACCAGCAGTCACATGCCAAAGTGTCCCTGGGCAAGACACTGAACCCCTCATTGCCTCTGATGTGTGTCCCATCAGTGTATCAGTGTATGAATGTGAGCTAAAGCACTGATTAGTCTCATTAGAATGATTTGTTCGATTAGCTTTGTAGAGATCTAGAGTGCTGTATGAATGGGTAAATCAGGGCACAGATTCTAGTGTAAAGCGCTTTGAGTATCTTGAAATAAGATAGAAAGGCACTATATAAGTACAGTCCATTTACCATTTACTACAACAACAACTGTCAGCTCAATATCTGTCAAACTGGCTGAGTTATAGTCATGTTTGTGTTTCCTAGTCAGTTGGCTGTGGTGGCCATCTTTAATTAATTAAATTGATGAATTAATCAGTTTAACATGTACGTTCAATTATTAGTTTCTGAGAGATTCATGAAAGTCTGTTCAATGGTCTCTGAAATATTTTGCTAACAGACAAACATAACTGATTTCAGTAGTTGATGAAAAAGTTTTAAACACAGATTTTGTGTTATGAGACAGCACCCAGAGTAAAAGATGGAGGTCAGTCTCAGTTACTACCACACTGAAATTTAAAACAATTTCTGTAAAATTGACTGATATAGTCATTTTGTTGTGGTGGCCATCTTGAATCAGGTTGACTCTAAAATAAATCAACTGTAGAGGCACATCCAGTGATTTTTTTTTCTTAAAGGTTCAATAAAATTCATATTATGACACACACACACACACACACACACACACAGGTTTGTTTTGCTATCTTTATGGGGCCTTTGCATTGACTTCCATTCATTTTTCATTCATTTCTATAGCCTAACCATGACCTTTATCCATAACCTAACCATTACCAGTACATACCTAACCCTAAACCTAACACATCCTCAATTCACACCTTAGTCCTAAACCTAGCCCCTAACCCACCAACGGGACTTCTTCTTATGGGGCCCGGGCTTTGGGCCCCATAAGGAGCAGTTGGTCCTCACAATGCAGTATAAGTTGGAAAAATGGGCCTCACAAAGTAGCATAAACAAGGACACACACTCACACACACACACACACCCCCACGCACGCACGCACGCACGCACGCACGCACGCACACACACACACACACACACACACACACACAGCAACAACTTTATCCTTCCTCCTCCATCAGCAGGTGATAAACATGTCTGACCTCAGAGTCTCCAGTCTACATCGTGGACTCTCCAGAAAACCACACAGCTGCTTCACTCCTGAATCTTGCAGTTTATTCTGATCCAGGTCCAATTCTGTCAGATGGGAGGGGTTGGACTTCAGAGCAGAGCTCAGAGAAGAGCAGCTGATCTTTGACAAACTGCAGCTCCACAATCTGCATAAAGAATAAAACGTAAGTTTAGAAAACAAAACAAGACTTTTAAAGACTCTTGAGACGTTGAGGCATTTTGTGAGCATTTAGCACCAGCTTGAAGTGAAATAAGTCAGACTGAATGATGTCAAATGCAGACTATAGAAGCTGGAAAACCATGGCAACTGTGTTAGCTCAGCAATAAACAACAGTGTCATTGGCATAGAGATGCAAAGTGCATCAGGAATATTTAGACTTACATTATTTATATAAATTGTAAAAAGAGTAGGACCTAAAATTGAGCCTCGTGGCACATCATTGGTGACTGGTAGGTAGCTAGATGAAGTACCGTTATGTCAGACACATTGCTTCCGACCTGAGAGGTAGTTTGGGAACCAGCCAACAGTGTGATCTAAGAAGCCAAGATCTGAGAGCTTGTGGTATAAGATGTCATGATCTACAGTACTGAAATATAATTTTATCAGATTATATATTAACTTAATGAAATGTCTATATATATGTATCCTGTTTTGTTATATAGAATATGTGATACACTGAGACAATGGGCTGATGAGTTGACCCTGGTCTTCACAGGAATCTTCAACGCTTCTCTGGAGTCATGCCACGTCCCAGCCTGTTTCAAGACCTCCATCATCATTCCTATCCCCAAGAAGCCACGTGTCACAGGACTAAATGACTACAGATTTGTGGCTCTTACGTCTGTAGTCACAAAAACTTTTGAACGTCTGGTTTTATCCCACCTCAAGTCCATCAGCAACCCCCTTCTCGACCCTCTGCAGTTTGCCTATAGAGCCAACAGGTCTGTAGATGACACCATAAACCTGGCCCTCCACTTCACCCTGCAGCATCTGGACTCCCCAGGAACCTTCCTTCCCCAGGAAGATGATTGTGGATTTCAGGAAAGCCACAGCCCCTCTGCCCCCCCCCCCCAAGTGGGAGCTGAACATCAGTTCCCTCATCAAGGAAGCTCGGCAGAGGATGTACTTCCTGCGACAGCTGAGGAAAGCCAAGCTGATGGTGCAATTCTACATGTCCATCATCAAGTCCATCCTCTGCTCTTCCATCACAGTGTGGTACGCCGAGGCCACTGCCAGGGACAGACACAGACTGCAGCGCGTTGTGCGCTTTGCTGAGAAGGTAATCGGCTGAAGCCTCCCATCTCTCCATGACCTGTACTTCTCCAGGACTGTGGGGCGAGCAGGTCGGATTACAGCTGACCCTTCTCACCTTGCATATGAACTATTTGAACCACTCCCCTCGTGCAGGAGGCTTCAGTCTATTCGGACCAGAACCTCCCACCATAAGAACAGTTTCTTCCCCTCTGTCGTCGGACTTTTGAACATTCATAATCCCATTACTGTATAACTCTGCTTTGGTCACTTTATCACTGTATTTTAACTGCACTACTCCAATTGCAAATTAGTTCTGAATATTGTATTGTATTGAATTGTATTGTGGGAGTTATATTGGGGGAGTGGTGGCGCAGAGATTAGAGAGGTGGGCTTGTGATCCGAAGATCGCCGGTTCACGCCCCGGCCCCGACAACATCAAAATTGTGGGTGGGGTAGGTGAAACACCCACACTTGCCCCCACCCTCATTCGCCCCACTCTGGGCCCATGAGCAAGGTCCTTAACCCCCACCATGTGCTCCCTAAACAGGTCTCTCTTGAAAATGAGTTATCGTGGCTCAATGAGACTAACCTGGATAAATAAAGGCTAAATGAAAAATAAAATTGTATTGGTTGGTGTACATATGTTTTCTTTTATCTTTTGTGTTTTATTTGCACCTTTATGCCAAAGCAAGTTCCTAGTCTGTGAATCCTGTTCATTGACAATGGCAATAATAAACTGAATCTGAATCTGAATTAAAAACCTTTAGTGAAGGAGTCATTGTTCTATGTTGTTTTCTGAAGCCAGATTGGAGAAAAGATTAAATATTAAAAGAGTTCGTATACTTCTTGACTTGAGTATTTATCATTTTTTCTAAAACCTTAGCTAAAATACAGTTTGGAGATTGGTCGATAATTGTTCAAAATAGTGGGGTCTCCTCTCTTCAGTAATGGCAGTCAAACATGATCTGCCAGTCAATCGCAAATGTGTAATTAATAGAGCGCATGGCATGAAAAATAAATAAGCATCAGCGTCATTTTCATCATCCATCAACACTATGATTTTTCATCATCCATCAACACTATGATTTTTGTTACTTGATTTTTTTACAGGGCACCCAGTCTTGAGGTCCCATTTACATGAAGTGAAACAGCAGCCTTTTTGCTGTGGTTTGGCCGTTGAACTTTTTTTTTGTCCACATATTTCTAACAATGCTCTTTAAAGTCCAACATGCAGGAAAGTAACACTACACTACACTCCAAAATTTTTCAGTCAGGTCATCTGGACAGTTTCTTTTTTTGTGCTGAAACGTTTCGCCTTCGATACGGAAGGCTTCATCAGTCAAGGAAACACACAAGAAAACTGATTCTTCCCCCAACAGTTTACTCCAAAGTGGAACAAACCAGTTTTGCTTGTGATATGATGGTCTCTTTGGAAAGCTACACTACACTACACTACTTCTTAGTGCAGCCTCATATTCAACATTTTTGAGACAATGTAATATGTTTTTTGGTTTATTCAAGTTGATCTGCCTAAAATCATACATTCTTATGTTTTTCCTATGTTTTTATAAATTTATAAACCTTTTACTGTCATAGATGTCAATTTATATAATATCAGTGATATGTAAATAACTGACAGAATTCTATGTTTGAACAATTTAATGATCTAAAAAAATTATGTGTACATTTACAGCCAAAGAGAAGTTTGACATCCCTGAAGAAATAAATGTATATCTTGTGGATGAAACTGAGACAGCTGTGGATGAGGACATCTTAAGTGATGTTCTGGAAGAAAAATCAGAAATAGTCACCCTCCGACTTGGTGCCTTTGTGTTGGAGTTTTCCCTAGTAGATGAAAGGGTAGCTTCCCTGCGCCTTTGGGTGGGACGACAGGCTCTGACTTGTTTGTGCCTATGTGCCAAGCAGCAGTTCAGAGTATCCAGCTTTCTTGGAGTCCTTGGTGGGAGTGCTGGAAGGTGCACCAGCTGGGGACTACTTTATTCTGCTGGGGGACTTCAATGCCCATGTAGGTAATGACAGTGTGACCTGGAGGGGCATGATTAGGAGGAATGGCCTCTCTGATCTGAACCCGAGCGGTGTTCTGTTGTTGGACTTCTGTGCCAGTCATAGTTTGTCCATCACGAAGGCTCTGGATGTTGTGGGGCTGTCTTGGCTGACACGCGTTCGCAATGTCGCGTGGACATCGGGGGCAGTGACACTGGATTGGCAGACTGGGCTGGTGGTTCCCGTCTTCAAAAAAGGGGACCGGAGGGTGTGCTCCAATTACAGGAGCATCAGTCTACTTAGCCTCCATGGTAAGGTCTATTCAGTGGTATTGGAGAAGCGAGTCCAATCATTTATCGAACCTCAGATCCAGGAGGAACAATGCTGGTTTCATCCTAGCCATGGAACATTGGACCAGCTCTTTACCCTCACTACCAGGGGTGGCTGTGGCTGAGTGGTTAGAACAGTCATCCTCCAATGTGAGAGTTGGGGGTTCGAATCCACCAGCAGTGATTCATTTTTTTCATTCAGCCTTTATTTAAACAGATAAATCACATTGAGCCTCGAAGACTCATTTACAAGTGAGACCTGTTCGGACAGACATAAAACAGTGGTTAACTGGACACATGTAGGAGTTGGAGTCACATGCTGAAGTGATTTGTTCTAGTAGCTTTGTAGAGATCTAGTAGAATTCTGTATGAATGGGTAAACGAGGGCACAAATTGTAGTGTAAAGAGCTTTGAGTATCTTGAAATAAGATAGAAAGGTGCTATATGAGTACAGTCCATTTACCATTTACCAAATATTTATAGGAATCAACAAACTCATTGGGGACACCATTTGAGGATAAAATTGGAGGAAGAACTGCTGGGACCGACTCCCTGTTTGAAAAAAAAAATCCTTTTGGTTTAATCGGCATTTAAGACAAGTTTGAGACGGAACAAATCTGACTGGATGATGTCAAATGCGAATTGCAAAAACTGGAAAGCCTTAGCAACTGTTTTAGTTTGACAATAAACAACTGTGTCATCAGCATAGAAATGTAAGGATGCATCAGGGATGTTCTGACCTACATTACCTATGTTGATTGTAAAGAGGGTGGGTCCTAAGACTGAGCCTTGTGGTACACCATTGTTAACTGTTAAATAACTAGAGGAAGTACCATTATGTTGAACACATTGCCTCCGATCTGAGAGATAGTTAGAGAACCAACCAATGATGTGATCTAAAAAAAAATTCTGAGAACTTATGACACAAGATGTTATGATCCACAGTGTCAAAAGCTTTAGACAGATCTAAGAAAAGTGCAGTACAATAATCCTTAGCATCCAGAGCTTCAACAATGTCATTAAGAAACTTCAGTGAAGCAGTCATTGTGCTGTGTTGTTTCCTGAAACTAGATTGGAGAGGAGGTAAGATGTTAAATGAGTCCAGGTAATTTTTGATTTGAGAGTTTATCAGATTTTCTAGAACCTTGGCTAAAATGCAGAGTTTAGAGATTTAGCTCCTACGTGCGCTCTCAAGACATAACTACCTGCAGTATACCCTCAGTGCGGACCGAACTTGACCAAAGGACCTTCTCTTACTCTGCTCCTGAAACTTGGAATTCCTTACAAAAAGATCTGAAGCTCTTGACTTTGACCACTCTAAGAGATTTAAAACAACTGTTGAGTTCATGGCAAAAACCAATGCAGACATGTTCCTGTTTTTAGTATTTTACATCGCTTTATGATATAAGCTGTTTTTCTTATTTTTCCTATTTAGTTTTCATTTTATATGCTTTTTACATGATTGTCTATTGTTGTCTGTACCTCATATATGTTTTTTTTTAAACAGGGATCTCTTGTAAATGAGTCCTCCAGGCTCAGTGCGACTGAACCATATGAATAAAGGTTGAATGTATGAATTCAGCTATATTGTCTACTTGTCTATTCCTTTGTGACTGGCTTTGATGTGGCTCATGTTTGAAAATGATATTAAAATAATTTAGTCATTTTATTTGTAATGTAGATAGTTTTTCATTTGTATTTTTCATTCTATTTTGTATTATTTTAATCTATTTTGGATTTTAATTCTAATTTGTATTTTTTATTGGCCAAATAAAAATGATTATTTTATTAAATCTTGTTTTCAATTATATTTTCTGCATCAATATTTATGTACAATAAAATTATTCAAATTATAGAAGACAGTAATCATTTTTAACAGGAAATGTCAATTTAAATGGAAAAGTATGTTACACACTTTATCACAAAATTGTCCCCATGGGTGAATTTCACACACTGCAATACCACCTTTGACATCTAGGGTGAAAAGTCAACACACACCGTGTCTCAAAATTCAACTCCATGGAGACCTTTTTTAAAAAAAACTTCACCAAGCATATTAGCTGGCTGTTTCCAATTGATTGCAATGCTTGTGCCCGTAGGGCTTTGGTCCCCAAGGGTAAAACTGGTCCCCAAGAGGTGGGTGAAAAGTCACACTGTGGACCCCACCAGGTAATAAAAACGAGAACACACACACACAGGTTTGCGTTGCTGTCTTTATGGGGCCTTTGCATTGACTTCCATTCATTTTGCATTCATTTCTATAGCCTAACCCTGACCTTTACCCTAAACCTAACCCTTACCAGTACATACCTAAACCTAAACCTAACACATCCTCAATTCACACCTTAGTCCTAAACATAACTCCTAACCCACCAACAGGACTTTTTTTTATGGGGCCCCGGCTTTGGGCCGCATAAGGAACAGTTAGTTCTCACAATGTAGTATAAGTTGGAAAATGGGCCTTACAAAGTAGCATAAACAATGACACACACACACACAGATAACAACATTCTTCTTCCTCCTCCACCAGCAGGTGATAAACATGTCTGACCTCAGTGTCTTCAATCTACATCGTGGACTCTCCAGAAAACCACACAGCTGCTTCACTCCTGAATCCTGCAGCTTGTTCTGACTCATTTCCAGTTCTGTCAGATGGGAGGGGTTGGACTTCAGAACTGAGCTCAGAGAAGAACAGCTGATCTCTGACAAACTGCAGTAGATCAATCTGAATAAAGAATAAAACGTAAGTTTAGAAAGCAAAATAAGACTTTTAAAAACTCTGAACTGTGAAAAACATTGATCCAACTGAAAATGTTTTAACGTTTCAAACTAAACTTTTTATTTGTAAGAGCCATTTATTCAAAGGAGTTGAAAATAATGCAAAATTTGTTGTTTTTACAATTTGAGTTATTTCTGTGAATAATAGTTTGTTAGTGTGTTAAAGAACAGGATAAATAACAACATGTGTATGTTATATATTCTTATTATATGCTGCATTTTGATTGGTTTACTCTTGGATGCAAGACTTTTGCCCTGCTGATTCCTTTCATGCCTTTATATTGAAATTTCAGCAGCCAGTCTTTTGACCATCACTTTCCTTTTGTTTTGAATTTGCTTGTTTTGTTTCCATTTAAGTTCTGTAAAGTCACAAAACTAAATTGCTGGATTCAACCTTCCACCTTCTTCCACCTGCGTAATATCGCTAAAATTAGAAACATCTTATCTAAAAATGATGCAGAAAAACTGGTCCATGCATTTGTCATATCTAGACTGGACTATTGCAATGGTTTATTATCTGGATGTCCAAATACTTCCTTAAAACGTCTTCAGTTGATCCAAAATGCTGCTGCCAGAGTCTTAACTGGAGTTACTGGGAGAGATCAGATCTCTCCAGTTTTAGCTTCTCTCCATTGCCTCCCTGTCAAATCCAGAATATAATTCAAAATCTTACTTCTAACCTACAAAGCTCTCAACAACCTAGCTCCATCTTATATTACAGATCTTATTGTTCCATATTTTACTAACAGAGCACTTCGCTCTCAGACTGCAGGTTTACTTGTGGTTCCTAGAATTTACAAAAACAGAATGGGAGGCAGATCTTTCAGTTATCAGGCTCCTCTCTTGTGGAACCAACTTCCAATCTCTGTCTGTGAGGCTGACACATTATCCAGTTTTAAAATTAGGCTTAAGACTTTCCTTTTTGATAAATCCTATAGTTAGAGTCGGCTTGGGTTTCCTGAGCTGTCCCTTAGTTATGCTGTTATAGACTTAGGCTGCTGGAGGACAAACTGACCACAATTTTCACTCTGCTACTGTCTTTACTTACTCTGCTCAAACTGTTTTGTATTTGTAATTATTTTCTCTATCCTTAACATGTGTTTTTGTCTTTCAGTTTCACCTGGACCTATACCTGGACCTGGACCTATACCTGGACCTACCATTCTATGTTCGTCTGTCTCTCCTTCCTGTCCTCTCAAACCAGCCGGTCAAAGCAGATGGCCGCTTGTCCTGAGCCTAGTTCTGCTGGAGGTTTCTTCCTTTTAAAAGGGAGTTTTTCCTTAGACAGAGAACTTTACTAATTGGCTTTTATGTATGTAAATGTTCCTGTAAAGTGCCCTGAGACAACTTTGTTGTGATTTGGTGCTATATAAATAAACTGAATTGAATTGAAAGACTTATTCTGAAGAAACGTGTTGTGTCAGAAAGAGCTTTTTGGGTGTCGAACTAGTGAGGGCTGGTGGCAAGGCCGGATTAACCATATGGGCAACTGGGCAAGTGCCCAGAGGCCCACCATCTCTAAGGGGCCCAGGGCCTTAGAGGTTTTCTCAACAGTGAGGGCACAAGCAAAATATCTGGTTATCTCCTGCTTTACTTGGAGCCCTGCACTGCACAGAGAGACTGCTGCGCTTTCACTGCATTTGGGCAGTCCTGCCCCCTCCCAGCACGGCTGCTTCAGCTCGGTTTTTTTTTTTTCAGTCGGCTCCTCGATGGTGCGACCTGTCATTCAATCCAGAAGGCGTGTCAACAACTGACCAATCGACAACCTCAATTTGTTCCGAAGGTAAACGCCCCTTACCTGCTGACAAGGTCATTAGTTTTTTTCTTGAGAAACTTCTTGTTTTAATTAAAACAATGTTTTTATCTGTTGTGAGATGATTCTAGCAGTTTTACAGATTTTTAATCTGCTTAATGAAGAATAGTATGACTTAAAATTGTTCATAAAACAGAGGAAGGACGGCTTATTATCCCTCCTCTTACTACAGTGAATGTGGTACTTTGCTAGAAGTACGACTATATTGATGGCATCAGAGAAAGCTGAGTTTAAGTTATCCACATAAAGTAAAATGTTATCAGCATGAAAAGAAGGAATGTTAAGTTTGAGATTAATCCAGTTTCTGATGTTTGACCAAACACTTTGTATTGACATGAAAAAAAAAAATTGCTCGAGGGATTCATCTTCTGATTTACAAAAGACACACAAATCAACATCAAATTTAAATCTTTGCAGAAACATGGCTACAGGAAATATCTTATTTATTATTTTTAAATGATTCTCCTTCACTTTAGGAGATTTAGGCCATTTGATAAATTTAAAATGAGCTGAAGTCATTCTGGTTATATGATTTATATTAGGAGGTTTCTTGAAAGAATCTTTGTTATACTCAGTAAATCCTTTGTTGCAAACATTCATTGATAATCTTATACATTTGAAGTCAACTAAGTTACAGACATTTAATTTTTATCTGGACATCAAATCCTCACCTTTGAATATATATTTTTAATTAATTGAATCAGTTGTTGGTCAGGATACTTTTGGTTGTGCCATTAGCTCTAAAATAGTTACTGAATCAAGTGTTTACTTATGCAGGTAAAACTAGATGTTAAACAACCGTTAAAATACACCAGAATGCAGGAAATGGCATCTACTTTATTCTAAATTTTCTGGGGGAGGACCCCCAGACACCCCCCCCCCCCACACACACACACACACATTATAAATGCTTCTGACACCAGTGGGCAACACGTTACTAAACAAGTACACATGGTGTCGTATGGGATTCAAAGTGCGTTCAACTTAGTCAAGTCAAGTCATCTTTATTTGTAGAGCACAATTTAAAACAGATAAACTGTTATCAAAGTGCTTAACAGAAATGTAGCAAAACATAGGCAGCAAAACAAAAACATCATACAGAATTAAAATTTCTGGAGCAATAACACACACTAATGATCACACTAAGGAAAAACAAGCAGTAAAAATAAACGTCAATCATAAAACAACAGAATTTAAAATGAGGTAACACAGAACAAAATAAACTAACTCACACCGTATTAAACGCCAGAGCAAACAGGTGCGTTTTAAGGAGGGATTTGAACATCAGGAGGGAGGAGGCCTGCCTGATGTTGAGGGGCAGGTTGTTCCACAGGTTGGGACCTCTGACTGAAAAAGCTCGATCCCCTCGGAGCTTCAGGCGTGATTTTGGAACGACCAAAAGAAGCTGGTCCGATGATCTCAGGGCCCGCGACGGAACATATGGTTCCAGGAGCTCAGAGAGGTAGAGGGGTGCGAGGCCATTTAGGCACTTATATGTCAGGAGGAGAATCTTGAAGTCGATTCTGGATCGCACAGGAAGCCAGTGAAGGGAGGACAGAACAGGTGTGATGTGCTCAGACCTACGTGTACCAGTTAAAAGCCGAGCAGCTGCATTTTGGACGAGCTGGAGACGTGAAATGGACGCCTGACTGACCCCAGCATAAAGTGAGTTACAATAGTCCAGGCGGGTTGTGATGAAGGCATGGACTAATGTTTCAAGGTTGGGTCTGGATAACACTGGCTTGAGCTTAGCTACCTGCCGCAGTTGGAAAAAACTTTTCTGCAGAACTGAACTGATCTGTTTGTCAAACTTAAAATCCGAGTCAAAAACCACCCCAAGATTTCTAACAGTGTGCTTGAGATAGGGCTGAAGTGAGTCCAGGTTTGCAGGATCTGAGGAGGCAGCTGAGCTAGGACTAAAGACGATGACTTCAGTTTTCTGGTCGTTAAAACTGAGAAAATTTGAAGTCATCCATGCCTTAATGTCATCTAGACATTTGAGGAGAGGGTGGATGGAACGAGCACTGGCTGGTTTCAGTGGCAGGTAGATCTGGCAGTCATCGGCATAGCAATGGAATGAGATGGCATGTTTTCTTAAGATGGATCCCAGTGGGAGCAGATAGAGCGAGAAGAGAAGGGGTCCAAGGATCGAGCCCTGTGGGACCCCGCAGGAAAGAGTCACCGAAGTGGACAGACTTTCACCAACCTTGACACAAAAAGTCCTGTCAGAGAGGTAAGAACGGAACCAGTCTAAAGCAGCTCCTGTAATCCCAACCCAGTGTTCGAGCCGTGAGATGAGGATACTGTGGTCGACGGTGTCAAAAGCAGCAGTAAGATCAAGGAGTACAAGTACCACATAGTGACCAGAATCGTTTGAAGTTAAAATGTCATTGCAAACCCTAACCAAAGCTGTTTCTGTGCTGTGGAGTTGCTTAAAACCAGACTGAAAGACCTCAAAGATTTTGTTCTCAGTTAAAAATTGATTCAACTGAGTAAAAACTATTTTTTCTAGGATTTTGGACAGGAAGGGAAGCTTGGAGATTGGTCTGTAATTTGAGTGCACTGAGGGGTCAAGTCCAGGTTTCTTGATTAAAGGAGTGACTACTGCATTTTTAAAGGCCTGTGGAACCACGCTTGTAGCAAAGCTACTGTTAAGAATATTAAGAACAGTGGGCCCAATCGCTGGTAGAACCTGTTTGAACAGTGAGGGAGAGATTGGATCAGCAGGGGAGCCTGAGGGTTTCATGTGACCAACAACTTTGTTTAACAATGGGAGTGTGATTGGATTGAAATTCCTGAAAGTGGCTGAACATGGGACAAAAACCGATGGGTCGACTGAGGAGCGGGGGATGGAAGATCTGATCAGCTCTACCTTACCAACAAAGAATCTTGTGAAGTCGTTACAGACGTCCACATAGGCCTCCATGCATTCAGACAAAGGGCCATTAAGAATGGAATTTACTGCTGTGAAAAGGGTGCGGAGGTTGTTTTTATTTTCACTGATCAGTTGGGAGAAGTATTTGTTTTTTTCTGATTTGACGGTGTTTTGGTAATTTTTTAAACAGGTTTTTAGCAAAATGAAAGAAACCTGGAGTTGGTCCTTTTTCCATTTGCGCTCTGCTCTCCTGCACAGTCGTCTCGCTGCCCTGGTGGTCTCGTTTATCCACGGGTACTGGGTTCTCCTTGCTTTCCTGACTTTCAGTGGGGCCACCAGATCCAAGATCTTGGTGCAGGTCTCATTGTGGTGACTAAGCAGCTCATGAGTACTGACACAGGCAGAGGTTTCAGGAGTTGAAACAGCAGTGGTGATAAAAGCAGAGGAAAAACGAGCAGAGGTTGAAGGGTTAAATACATGACAGGTCCTAGGTGGAGTGGGGGATTTAGACTCACGAGCAAGAGAGATTTCAAATGAGATGGGTTTGTGATCGGATATGATAGCATCCCCAATTTCCAGATTTAACACAGATACACCATAAGACAAAACAATATCGAGAGTGTGCCCCTACTGATGCGTGGGGCCAACAACATTTTGCACCAGGTTTAGAGAGTGGATCAGATTTAGAAAGTCCTGCACCAAAGGCTTCTCAGGGCAACAGACGTGTATATTGAAGTCCCCTAGAATCAGCACACGGTCGTATTTTAACAGTATTCCAGTGAGAAAGTCAGACAGTTCATTGATGAAGCCTGTTGATGATTTGGGGGGTCTGTAAAGAGCAGCAACCAGGATGGGGTTGGAGCGGCCCAGTTCAAAATGCAGCAGCTCAAAGGTCTCCACCTAAAACTCCTCCACCTCTTCCAGATGGCCTCGGGCAGTTAAGAAAAGTACAGTCTGCAGGCACAAGTTCAGTAAAAACGCTTGACTCACCAGGAGGAAGCCAGGTCTCCGTCAGAAACAAGAAGTCCAGGTTATTGGAGCAGAAGAAGTCATTCATTATAAAAGTTTTGGTTGATAAAGATCTCACATTGAGGAGAGCAAACCTCGTTAGGCCAGCAGCTGGGGGAAAAGTTGAGGGGAGGACGCTGATCAGCGGCCTCAGGTTGTTTACGTCGGGCCTTCGCCTCCTCCGGCCAGAGGAAGCGCAGCTTCGCGCGCGTCCGCCGCGAAGTCCAGAATGAAGAGCCTGAATCCGAGAGCCGCCGGACACAGCAGGGTCGTTGGTACACTCCGACGGGACAGCAGTAGATGGTGCAGCCGATGGACCAGGGCAGGCCCCGATCAGCTGGAGACTTTCAGACCCACCGCAGCTGGGCGCGCGCCCGCTGCGCGGTCCGGGACAAACAGCCGGAGTCCGAGAGCCGCCGGACACAGCAGGGTCGTTGGGACAGACCGATCGGGTGGCAGGAGATGGTGCAGATGAAGAACCCAGGCAGACCTCGATCAGCTGGACACTGTCGGAAACTTCGCAGCTGAGCGCGCGCCCGCTGCACACCTCCGACCCCACGTTCTTCAGCGGGCAGGACTCCGCGAGACATCCAGGTGGAGGATCCTCAGTCCGGTGGTCAGCTGTTGCTGAGGAGCAAGCGAGGCTCGCTTTGAGCCTCACGAGACGGCCAGCACGTCTCCCGCGGCGGCGGGAGCGATGTTTCCGTGCAGGCAGGAAAACATCACGGTGAAGGTAAGCAGGGACGCTCCCGAGCAGTGGAGGTGGGGGCCCAGAACCTCGGTAGAAATGATCGTACGAGGCGAGATATTTTGCGGAAAATTGTAGATTTAGAAATTGCTCACGATCATACACCAGCAGTAAGTTGATGTTATTGAGGAAGAATGATAAAAATAGCAAAAAAACAAACAGAGTGGAGAGAGGTGAACGGCAAGCCACCAGCTCGGGCGCCATCTTGAATTGAACTTAATTCAGTCTTGATGATTTGCGTCAACAAGAGAAATAGCATTTATAGCTGTATGAGCATTTGGAGTTTTATACATAAAAATACACGTGATAGTTAGAAATTTTAAGTATATTTACTGTATATTATGGTAATTTATTCAGTATTTTGCCAGATTATGGTGATTCTGGGGTCGTGATGATGGGGCTCTTGAAGATTGTTGCCCAGGGTACAGCAAAGTGTTAATCTGGCCCTGTCTGGTGGCACTCACATTATTTATTATTATTATTTAAATTGTTAATTTATGAGAAATTTTAATGATAGTATAGAAACAAACACACACATCAACAACATTGTCCCTCCTCCTCCATCAGCAGGTGATAAACATGTCTGACCTCAGAGTCTCCAGTCTACATCGTGGACTCTCCAGAAAACCACACAGCTGCTTCACTCCTGAATCCTGCAGGTTGTTCTCACTCAGGTCCAGTTCTGTCAGATGGGAGGGGTTGAACTTCAGAGCGGAACTAAGAGAAGAACAGCTGATATCTGACAAACTGCAGCTCCTCAATCTGAATAAAGAATAAAACATGTAAGTTTTGAAAACAAAAGAAGGCTTTTAAAAACTCTGAACTGTGAAAAACATTGATCCAACTGAAAATGTTTCAATGTTTCAAACTAAACTTTTTAATTGTAAGAGCCATTTATTCAAAGGAGTTGAAAACAATGCAAAATTTGTTATTTTTACAGTTTGAGTTATTTCTGTGAATAATAGTTTGTTAGTGAGTTAAAGAACAGGATAAATAACAACATGTGTATGTTATATATTCTTATTACGTACTGCATTTTGATTGGCTGCTGAATTTGCAATATAAAGGTACGAAAGGCATCAGCAGGGCAGAAGTCTTGCACCCGAGAGTAACTCAGTCTTTAGACGTCACTTTCCTTTTGTTTTGAATATGTTTGTTTTGTTTCCATTTAAGTTCAGCAAAGTCACAAAACTAAATGACTGGATTCAAGACTTATTCAGAAGAAACGTGTCACGTCACAAAGAGCTTGTTGGGTGTTGAACTAGTGAGGGCTGGTGGCACTCACATTAATTATTATTATTTAAATTATTTAATTTATGAACATTTTTACTGATAGTACAGAAACAAGCACACACACACACGTGCACACACACAGACAACATTGTCCCTCCTCCTCCATCAGCAGGTGATAAACATGTCTGACCTCATTGTCTCCAGTCTACATTGTGGACTCTCCAGAAAACCACACAGCTGCTTCACTCCTGAATCCTGCAGCTTGTTCTCACTCAGGTTCAGTTCTGTCAGATGGGAGGGGTTGGACTTCAGAGCAGAGCTCAGAGAAGAACAACTGATCTCTGACAAACTGCAGCTGATCAATCTGAATAAAGAATAAAACAGTTAAATAAAATCATTTCTAATCTCTTCAGATGTGTTCTGGTTTCCACGTGTAGCTCAACATTAACATGTATTTGTTTCCATGACAACAGTCATGTATCATATCAAAGCAGTTGTGAATCCTGCTGTTCACACTGAAAGTGAACGCTCTGTTCCTGACACAAATCCACTCGTGAGTTCAGCTGACACTAATGTGAAGCTTCAGCAGTCTGACACTAATTCTGTCTGCTTCTTCCAAAGTTACACAACTGAGAACAACATCCCTCTGACATCTGGACTTCACTTTGGACCTTTGGAGACAAATGATCACATTTCTTCATAGACAGTTGGACACATTTACATATCTTTGGTTTTAGGTTCAGATAAATCCCCAAAATCAATGACGTAAAAAAGATCAAACTGAAGTAAGGAACTAAAACTGAATTTAGTGAAAAACAAATTGTCATTTAAATCACCTTAGCTTCTCCAGTCTACAGTTTGGACTCTCCAGTCCAGCAGACATAATCTTCACTCCTGAATCCTGCAGGTTGTTGAGGCTCAGGTCCAGTTCTGTCAGATGGGAGGGGTTGGACTTCAGAGCTGAGCCCACAACTTCACAGTGAGTCTCTGAGAGTCCACAGTCAGGGAGTCTGTCAGGACACAAAAAGAAAATGATTTAATCCTGATAAATGATACTTTCTGTTCAGATTAGAAGATAAACCAGTTGAACTCTTCCTGTTGGGCTTTTTTCCTTCATTTCAGAGCTTCAGTTCATCTTCTCTGGTTGATGTGATGAAATACTTCTCATCATTGTCTCTCGTAACTGCAGCTTTGTTTTGCTGTCACTGGGGTGTGAAGGGAGGGATCCTTGATGATTATTGTTTTCAGTGTTTTTTGCAGGAACCAAAGCTGCTGGTTTGATTCCAGTCATGTCTCTCTCTGTCCTCTGTCCTGTTTATTAAACTATCAGAGTCCAGTAAAGACTGATGAGTCTGACATGAGTCAAGTCAAGTCAAGTCAAGTCAACTTTATTTATAGAGCACATTTAAAACAGAACCTGTTATCAAAGTACTTAACAACAATCAATGGGAGTAAAATTAAAGAGAAAAAAATACAATACACTAATATTAATAACTGAAGAATGAATAAAAAGAATTTAAAACATAGGGTCACAGATTAAAAAAACACTAGATCAATTTAAACTGTGTGAAATGCCTGCGAGAACAGGTGTGTTTTTAGCAGGGATTTGAAGTGAGGAAGGGAGGTGGCCTGCCTGATGTTGGGGGGCAGATTGTTCCAGAGTTTGGGGCCCATGACTGAAAAAGTCCAATCTCCTCTGAGCTTCAGTCTTGTTTTTGGAAGAGCCAAAAGCAGCTGATCGGATGATCTCAGGGCCCAAGAGGGAACGTAAGGTTCCAGTAGCTCAGAGAGGTAAAGGGGTGCGAGGCCATTTAGGCATTTGATGGTCATGTAGTGATGTCAGGGACAGCTTTGCTGTTAGCTTCACTACTAATTAATTATTCTTAAAGCTAGTTCAAGCACAAAGAATATTAATTATTAATTACAACAAATTATTTCTTTTTCAAGTTAAATTTCTGCCATGTGACCGAGATAACTGTGAGGATTGTTTAATCAGTGACATGAGATGCCATTTTATCTTTGACCCATCAGAATAAATGCGGTCATTTATTTAACAGAATCAAAATTTAACATCAAGACCTGTACACATTGATTTGCTGATCTGTTTCTGATTAATAAAAACTTGGCACGCTTTACTAACAAGACAACAGAACATTACCGATTGAGGCTGATTCACCTCTGAAGGCATCTGGATTACTGGCAAATAGAAAAGTTTAAGAGAAGGAGTAGAGAAGTTTAAAGATTTTAAAGATGGATGAAGGAAGATGTATGTTTGTGACCAGAATTAGCACGCTTCTTTCAACACCAGCTCAACCTTCCGGTACACTTCAGGACGTGCAGAGACTTTGTTACCTTAGATGGGGGGACACCTCCACTCCGGAACAGAAGTCCATTAGTACGATCCCTTTACAGCGTCTCCGGTTAAAGAGGCTGGTCATCGTCAGAAGTCGTGTGGTTTACTCCGTTCAACAGAACAAGCTTCCTTCGAAGTTGTAGGGCGTTACGCCCGGGTGAGTTCACAGCGAGGCGCTGTGACTCCGCTGGGATGGACGAACCCTCGTCTCACGGTCAAATCCATCAGCTATTGATAAAATCTGAAAGTTCCTTTGGAACTCTCAGTAAAACTCCAGTCAGAGATTCCACTCAGAAGTGGAAGACTCCTGGGAAGACTGCAAGAAGACTGAAGGAAAAACTTTAAGAAGACTCCATAGTCCCAAGGAAGACTCGGGAAAACTGCAGGAAGACCGCCAGAAGACTGAATAGTTCCAGGAAGTGTTGACTTTTTAAAGAGTACTCACTTCCTGTCACTTAGTACTTCCTGATTGGTTGAAACAACCAGCAGGGGGGTGTTTCAGTGATGTCATAGGGTTATTAAAAGTCAAGAGAGGCTGCAGGAATGTTTAGGAATGGTTAGTACAGACAGAGAAATTTTTATGAAGAGGTGAGACAAGGCAGGTGCCAGTTGCTTCTTATTTACTGTCTGCTAGGTTTAAAACAAGGCACGTCGTTCTCATAACTTGCCTCTGACTTTTGACCGACATCACTACTCCTCATTCAGACAGAAGATCAAAATGCACAATTACTTTGTAAATAGACATTTAACTTGATTTCTAATTCTAATGAGGTCAAAAAATCATTAATACTGTTTCACAGTTGATTTAAATGAGTGGTTCACTTCAACACTTAGAAATGGTATGAACTAGACACACTTAGATTATCAAGATATTATAAAATAGTAATGATAATGTAAAAAAGAAGCGTGTTCTTTCAATTGATTAATTCAGGATACAATTAAATAGTCTCTTGATGAGATCATTTGTATTTCTGGATTCAAATCAATGAAATAGCAGTTCCTGTCCCCTGAAGGTCTTCAGAGACAGATTGTTGTCAGATGCCTAGTTCACTACAGCCAACAGAAGAATTTTAAAGACTATCCTAGTACAAACAGGGAACCAGTGAAGGGAGGACAGAACTGGTGTAATATGTTCAGATCTACGAGTTCTGGTTAAAAGCCAGGCAGCAGCATTCTGGACGAGCTGAAGACATGAAATGGAGGCCTGGTTGACCCCAGCATAGAGTGCATTGCAATAGTCCAATCGGGTCGTGACAAAGGCGTGGACTAGTTTCTCAAGGTCGGGTCTGGACAACACTGGCTTGAGCTTAGCTACCTGTCTGAGTTGGAAGAAGCTTTTCTGCCGAACAGAGTTAATTTGTTTGTCAAACTTGAAGTCAGAGTCTAAAACCATCTCGAGATTTTTACCAGACTGCTTCAGATATGGCTGAAGAGAGTCCAGGTTGACAGGATCAGTGGCGGCAGTTGAGCTAGGGCTAAAGACAATGACTTTAGTCTTCTCATCATTAAAACTTAAGAAATTTGAAGCCATCCAGGCCTTAATGTCGTCCAGACATTTTAACAGCAGGTGAATGGAGCAAACACTTGCTGTTTCACAGGCAGGTAGATCTGACAGTCATCAGCATAACAATGAAATGAAAAAAACATGTTTCTTCAGGATGGACCCCAGTGGGAGCAAATAAAGTGAGAATAGAAGGGGTCCAAGAATCAAAACCTGTGGGACCCCACAAGAAAGAGGTTATGAGGCAGATACATTATTACCAACCTTGACACAAAAACTCCTGCCACTCAGGTATGGGCGGAACCATTCTAATGCAGCACCTGTGATCCCAACCCACTGTTCCAGCCATGATATAAGGATACTGTGGTCAACAGTATCAAAAGCAGCAGTAAGGTCCAGGAGCACAAGTACCACAAATTGACCAGAATCATTTGATATAATATTGTTGCAAACCCTCACTAATGCTGTTTCAGTGCTGTGGAGTTGCTTAAAACCAGACTGAAAAATTTCGAAGATTCTGTTCTCATTCAAAAACTTGTTTAATTGAATAAAAACTATTTTCTCCAGGATTTTGGACAGGAAGGGGATTCAAAAAGCCTTCAATACAAAAACAAATGGACTTTATTTGTAACAGAAGACGTTTCACTCCTCATCCAAGGAACTTTCTCAATTCAATGAGCAGTGAGTGAGAGATTCAGGTTATAAGGCTGAGATAAGATACACACACATGTAGATTGGCAATTCACACCTAAACACCTTAACAGTAGGGGTTTCTTAAGTCTGTTACTCTAATTCACAGACGAGGCCCCTCTGTTCCCATCAAGTGTGAAAACTGGCTGGGAATCTGTTTTAAAGTTGCATTATAGGTTTTTGAAAGTGGAAATCTGAGGCCTCCTCCTCTGTTAAGAGATGGCTTTTCCTTTTTTACATCAATTGCTTCCTTCACCCCCCTCTCAAACCATCTGTGTTCTCGATCCAAAATGTGCACATTTTGGTCCTCAAAAGAGTGTCCCTTATCTGTGAGGTGGAGGTGAACAGCTGAGTCTTGTCCAGAGGAGGTGGCTCTCCTGTGTTGAGCCATGCATCTGTGAAGAGGCTGTTTAGTTTCTCCAATGTAGAGGTCTGGACAGTCCTCGCTGCACTGGACCGCATACACTACACCACTCGGTTTGTGTATGGGTGTTCTGTCCTTAGGGTGGACCAGCCTCTGTCTGAGAGTCCTGCTGGGTTTGAAATGTACTGGGATGTTGTGTTTGTTGAAAATCCTTCCGAGTTTCTCTGATACTCCAGCAACATAAGGAATGACAATGTTTTTCTGTCTGTTGTTCTCCCTTTTCTGTTTATTAGTGTGTGTTATAGCCTGAGGCCATTTGGTTGAGCAAAAGTGTTTGCAGGTTGATTGCTGACAGCTGTGCTGTGGCCCATCTGGGATTGGCTGCTTCACTTCCTGAATCCTCCCCAATGGACATCAATCTGCATCCTGGTTGGCTTCTTCACCTCCTGCTCCTCCAACCACAGAAGGGGCCTGCCTATTTAAACCCAGCTCTCCTCCCATTCAGGGCGGCTGTTGTTTAGAGCAGCTCACCATTAGTATGGGTTTCTGTGTCTTTGGACTCTGGTCTCTTGACTTGAATTGTTTGGCTTTGGCTTTGGCCAACTGTTAAACCATGCAGTTGGTTGTCGGTGTTGTTTGTAAGCCCCTTAAAGCAGTTAGAAGGCTTACTTGTTTACTTTTGTTTTGACTCATTATAAATTTGTTTTGAGTATTCATTAATTTGGTTAACCTGAATTTTGTTATTGACTTGATTGTGAAAGCTTTGTTGTAATTGGTACTTTGAATGTACCCCTCCTTTTGTTAATGTTGAATTTTATTTTAAACTGACTAATTAAATTGTTACTTTTGTTCAAACCTTTTCCATTTGGGTTTTTAATGTTACCTCCCCTTCTCCTGGCTGAGCCGGGTCATAACAGTGTGTTTTGTAGATTTCCTCGCTGACTTGACAAAAGCCCAGTTAGGATATCCACATGTTTGGAGAGCTTCTTGAACGTGTTTCAGTTCCTTTTCCTTCTCTTCTGTCTTTGTGGGGACGCGTTCGGCCCGATGTTGTAAAGTTCTGATAACAGAGAGTTTGTGTTCCAGCGGATGGTGGGAGTCA